AGTGCGGGGGGCAGTGGACAGAGGTTGAGTTGCACATCAAGAAAACCATACTCAAAGAAGAGATGAACCGAATCAGGGGTAAGTACTATTGTCAGATCGACCTGGAAGCAGAGGGCTGGACACCTCCCATGATCGAGAGGAGTAAGCAGTGGGCCAGAAACCATGGCACTCTCAGGATTTCTGAGGTGCATGGTGAGGAGGAATGGTCATTCCCCTTTGAAGAACTTAGAGGAACACACAGCATCCACCTCTACGTCTGTCAAGGATTGCTTTGTGTTATCAAGTGTTGGTGGGTTCCACTTTTTGACATGTTCACCCTGCATGTGTTTGGTCTTTGGTAATTATATAAGCAAGGACGGAGTCCCCGCCATGTTTGACAGCAACATCTCGATGGAAGCGGCGTCTGGAAGCGCTACTGGGTGGTTTGCTCAGTCCCAAAGTGCCTTCAGGTCTTTCTTGATTTGTCCGTGTTTCAGGTCAGTGAACCGACATTTGATGGAGATGTCTACAGCATCTGCAAAGCAGGCCAAGACTGCAGTCATGCCAGTCATCCAGCAGAACGATCCTCTTGGATCCTAGGCATGTTTTTGTGTCCATGTACATTATATACATGTACAAACAAGCTCAGCTTAGTGCACTTTATTTCTTGGAGCCCACTCTATAAGGACAGTTGCCTGCTTTCTTGGAAGTCATGGGGAAGCTCAAGCAACATGGTTTTCTTGAGACCTCTCACTCAATGTCTTTCAAGGAGAAACTTGCGGGGATTGACACTGAACGTGCCAAACAGTCCTTTGGTTTGCACTGAAGGGTTTGGAGTTATTGCTGCCCTTGGACTTGTTATGCTTTATATAGTATGCATGATTTGTTGCACCAGGTTGGTCAAACCTCTACGTGATCAGCGGGGTGAGATGGAAACAGTCTACCAGAGCCCGCTGTCTTTGCAGGGGGAGTTCACAACTCTGGATAACGGTCTTGGAGAGACACCTGCCTGTTAGTTACTATGCGCACTAATATGTCTATACTAAACGTTTTCAAGATTCCTGGGCTAACAACTAACATGTTTGTGTATGCCATGTGACTCTATATGTATCTAAGGGACCAAAAGAAGGCTTTGATCAAAAAGTACGTTGAAGCGACGCAGAAGGATTTGGCTTTGAACTCGATGCTCATGCGTTGCAGGTGCACACATTCTTGTCTCACTTCTTCAGAAAGCTTTCAACTACTTCATAAGTGCTATGCATGGCCCGTTTTAGTTATTGTGAAATTGAAACCTGTGGTGTGTGGTGCATCCCCCCCATGCTCCAGGAACTGCAAGGCTCCCAAACCCAAAGCGAAGGCTAAGGCCAAGGCTGGTCGCAAGCGCAAGCGTTCCAAGACGAACGTTGAAGAGGACGAGGAGGAGCCTGAAGAACTTGATGATGGTGAGCCCTCTGAGCCAGCACCGGCACCGCCAAAAAGCCGTGGGTCCAAGCCAAAGGGTCCAAAGGGTCCAAAGGTTTCGGGTGCCAAGAAAACGGCCCGGGGTAAGGCTAAGGCCTAGTGGTCTTGGATGAGGCCGCGTGCATTTTGCTTGAACAGCTGCTGTAGCTTGTCCACTTGAATGAGACAAGTGTTTGGCGTTTTAGCAGTATAAACTACACCATGGCCTGGAAAAATAAGACCTCATGCACGTGCGATCACGTGCGCCTTTCAGAACACATGCAATATGGATGAAACCCCAGCAGCGGCTGAGCCAGGTCTCCTAGAGCCTTCAGCCTGCTCCTATCTCTTCTCTAGATCAGGTGACTTGGGCAGCAGCTTCCAAAAGAAACTATATATATATAATATATATATATCCCTCATTGCATGTCTTTGAACGCGCGCAGCTCCCAATCCAAAGAGATATGGTATATCTGTGGTTATATATATATATAATATATATTTATACCAGTGGTCTCCAACTGATCTATCTGCATTGCTGCCCTCAGGCCCCCCGGATGATGAGAGCGACGATGCTTTGTGTGCTGAGCTGGCTGATGATCTTCTGGTCGATTTTTTTTCAGGTGAACCTTTGCTGCAAACCGGTCTTGTTTTGTGTACAAATCCTTTCAGTATCTTTCAGTGCAGGGGTACCTCTAGCAGGCCAACCCTTGGGGGCCAACCTCCACACTGAGGCCCAATCAGCGAAACAGGTGGCTCTGAATGCTTCTAGAATATGCCGAGTGAGAAGGAGCCGTTTCCTGGCTGGATGGTGTGTGATACATGAATGCATGCATGCATGCGCACTCCAATTTCATGTTGACCATGCACCAAAAAGGATGTGGTCCATGGTGGTCCCGTTTCTGAGGAAGGCAAGATGACCTTCTCTGGAAGATAGCCAAATGCTCCAATAGCCAGAACCGCAATGCCTGCAGAAACTTGACCAAACTCATTCGCCGATCCGGAGCCTGCTTGAACATCGAATTGGCCTTCGTGGAAGTTGCCTGCCGCAAGAAGAGGCCAAAGATCCAGGAGATAGATATTCAATGGCCAGTCATACCTATGAGGGGCTGGTGCAAGTACATTTTTGAGAATGCTGCATTTCTCCTCTTGGGAGGGCACCGCCTAGGAAATGCTGCCATGTGGCAGGCAATGTTTGAGTCTTTCTGGGAAAGGTACAAGACCATCAGGCCACATCATGAGCTGTTTTCCAGCAACAAACCTCTGGGAAGATGTATCCCTTATATGGTTCACGGCGACGAAGGTGTTTCTCACCGTCGGGTACCATTCTTGGTGGAATCTTGGCAACCAGTTATCTCACACTTGGGTATGAGCAAGACCAGTGTAAGCGGGATCCTTGCCATCCAGTCCAACACATTTTTATTCCGTCACAAGGGTGGTGTTTGTCTTTTGGATTTGGGTTGAGGTCTGGTTGGTTCAGGGGATGAGCTGGACTCTAGCCCAACCTGGAGCTAAGGCACAGCTTTTGCAGCAGGTTTCTTTACACCTGCATGTCTTCATCGGCATTCAGTGGAGATGTGACACTTTTTCAGTTGCACTCTGCATTCACCCAAGAAATGCTTCAGCTTTACCACGAAGGCTTTGAGGTTTCTCGCTTGTCATTTCTGACAGTGGTGTGGTATGTTTGTTATCCCTGAAGGTCTGCCCAGGGGATCCCACGTCTACAGTATATCTGATATGGATTGGAAGCAAGGGAGATTGGAAGTATCTCAGAAAGGCCCCTTGGATATATAATCGTTCATTGCTGGATGGAGTAAATGTCTTGATGAGTGGGTTGAGATATCTGGCCTAGGTTGTGTTTATGGAGCCAGTCCTCACAACATAACTGGGCCTAACGCCGTAGCATGAGTCCAGGTCTTCTGATCGATCAAGTACATTCAACTTGAACTGGCACTTCTCATGCCTTTTTTGAATTGCAAACACTCAGGCCTGTAATTTTTAGCAACAGGCAGGTCATGCGCACTAGACTCAACAAATTTGTGGATCCAATCAATAAGTTTTCAACTGGAGCTAGGCCTCATTTTGGACCTGTTGCCAAAATTGATGGTTTGTGAAACCCATCTCAAACAATCTCTATTTCACCTAAAGACCTAAAGAGCACCAAAACATCTCCCAGCCGAGCCAAGGCCTGGAACTTGAAGACCGGGTGGAACAGTCTTCGGGTATGTCACCTTTGCAGCTCTGAAGACTGGGTTGGGATAAGTTGGAATAGGGAAAGGGAGGACTCAAAAAACACTTTGAATGTTTGTTCCCACAGTACTTCTTTGGTTTGTTGGAATAGCCCGTGAAGGAATGGTATGATCCCAGTCCAGAAGCTGAATCACGAAGAGCTAGACCTGGCGATGATCCCTACAAAGAAGGATTACCGTGGCCCTTCCGCCAGCTACCACATGCCAGCCCAGAGATGATCCTTGTGGACATAGCCCACTCGTTTCATATCAAGGGAGTTGGGGTTGACTTTGCAGCAAGTCTGATAGTTCTTGGCTGTCGCAAGAACTTGTGGGGTGCAGGCTCCTTTGATATGAAACTTGAACGTGCCTATGAAGAATTCATCGAGCACTGTGCTACTACCAGGAAAAACACCACCTGTGGGACATGGTCAAGGCTGAAGCTTGACATGTCTACCGGAAATGATTTCCCTTCCAGTGTGGATGGAAAAGGCATGGACACAGCAGTGGTTTGCGCGTGGCTTGAGGTAGCTTTGTCGAACAAGGACAGGGATGGGAAACCCAAAATCCAACACGGTTATAGTTCTTAATAGCTTTTGGTCTGAAGCAGGATCTTGGTGGTGATGAAGAACTACAAATAGCCCTCTACAGTTTGCAATCGATCAACAAGTACTTTCGCGAGATGTTAGCATCGGGCCTTTGGCGGACAGCTTTGGAGCACAAAGAATCTGAACGCTTGGTAAGAACCTTTTGTGAGGGATATGCCCAATTAGCAGCGTCCCAGGCCGCTGCTGGAAAGCTCATGTTCAAGCTGCGCCCCAAGCTTCACATGCTTTGGGAGGTCCCCTCCCAAAATTCTGGCTCAGAATGGGTTTATGTGCTTCATGCTGGTCCGATGAAGATTTCATTGGAAAGTGCAGTCGAGTATCACGAACATGTTTGGGACTAGGGTTGGCCCAATCCTTGAGATGCATCCAGAAAATTTTGGGGTGCTACAAAACCCAATTCGACAAGTTGAACCGTTAGATCATCTGACACTTGGCCGCCCGACATCCTTGTGGGCAAAGAGGCGCGAAGGTGATGTGCGCATCATCGGTGGATGGTGCAGGGGGTAAAGATGGGGACAAAGGATGATGTCCATTCATGTCTATGCTGCAAAACGCCTAGTTCTTGCATAAAACGACCAGTTCTCCTAGTTTTGAAGGAAAACACTCAAACGTTCGAAACTCCTAAAAATAATTGAGTGAAGGAATCTCCAGGTGTATAGGTATAGGCATGCCAGTCCCAAACAAGTCGTGTCTGGGCATGGTCCAACACTCTTCCGCTCCCAACCACTCCTCCGCCACTGCCGTTGTTTTCGGCCGGGCGCTCTCTCTTTGGAGACGGACGTCGACTTCGTTCCCACCGGGACCGCGGGACCGCGAGCACACGCGCGCGCTCAGGCGCGAGCTCCGCTGGACGTGCCTGGGGCGACCCTTCGCGAGGCGGACGAGAAAGCTGCCAGTACGATCGGGGCTCTGGCCACGAACGCGATCGGGCGCTCGAAGCGTTCGAAAACATCCCGTGGCCATCGCTACGAACGGGGCTCCTGGCCTTACTACCAGGAGCAAGTAGCTATGAGGAAGGTCGAGGATGTGCCTCCCAGCTCACGGGGGCGAGACCTTCCACAACTTGGAATCAATATGATCTGCCCAGACGCTCCGTTCACAGCCGGACTGGTCCCTCAAAACCTCGGGATCCTAGGGGATTGGTTCGACCCCAGACCCCTCCAGAGGATTCGGGTCCGACCCCTGCAGAGGATTCGGGTCCGATGAGTGGGTTCCTTTTTGAAATCGTTTCTCTTCTCCAATTCTTCACCCTCCCAAAAAAAGAAAAACGCGCCACTCCCTCCACACCTCTCTCTTCCGCACCTCTCAACAGCCCAGTCGACCCGTCCTCGAGCCCCCCGGCCGGGGGAGAAGGGCGAGGGCAGGCTGTTCAGCCCCGGCGAGGGGTCCCAAGCGGCGCCTCCTGCGTGCCGGGTTGGGGAGTTGGAGCAAACAAGGAGACCGTGTGAAACCAATCCTATCCTATCCTATCCTATCCATTCCATTCCATTCTATTCCATTCCATTCCATTCCAATCCTCCGTCCATCCATCCATCCATCCATCCATCCAACCATCCAATCAACCAACCAACCAACCAAGCAACCAACCAAGCAAGCAACCAAGCAAGCAATCAATCAATCAATCAATATCAAGCATGTAATGTAAGGAACCTGTCTCTTTTGGTCTTCTTCCCCGCAAATCCAACACAGAGCAGCATAACACCTGCACTGAAAACAACACACATGATCAAATAAGGTGCACCTTCCATCGCCTCTTCACTCATCGCTGGCATCTCTTGACATACCTTTTCTCTGCCCGGCCTGTCTTCTCTGCTTTGAACTGTTCCGGTTCAACCAGCCCAAGGATTCCATCAAAGGTCACTACCTCATCTGGCGTTCACGACCCTCCGGTGTCCATCGCTTCTGGGCCCCAACACGTGGATGGTTGACCCGGGCCGGCGGCTTAGGCGCAGGGCCATGGAGTCTCAAACAACCTCTGATCCCCCCGTGGAGTTTCAGGCACCTCTGCAGAAGAGGCCTCCTTTCCTTGAAGCCTTCAGCCTTCAGCCTTCAACTCGGGACTTGGGAATCCGGACCCCCAGGGAGCAGAGCAGGACCAAGACCGGATCCACGCCCGAGATGTTCGTCACCTCCAGCCTCTCTAGGCGGAGCGTGGGCGCGCACGCGCGGGGCGTGGCGCCCGCACGCGCAGAGCGCGGAAGGCTGGGGAGTGGCGGCGGCGGGGGTTTTGCGGTGGGGGGCGCGCGCTTTTCGCTAGCATGGCATGGTTCTAGCGATGTGAATACGTGTGATACGGATATATGTGTTTGGAAAAAAGAGAAAGCGAAATCTAAAGAGCTCCAATTCGATGAAAAGAACAAACGAACCCTTCCAGAATGTGGTTGATCGTTGGGATCCCATCCTGGAAGCCCTAGACCTCCCACGTCCTCCCACAGGTCGTGGCAGCCTCCCCTTCTGTTCCAAAATGGGTCCTTTTGCTGGGGAGTCCCCAACATGTCCCATGCCGGTCGCACAGCAAAAACCCTCATGGCCACCGATTGACCGAGGTTGACCCGGTGAGGTTCCACCATCCGCCGCTTCGAAGCGCCTGTGTCCATTCGATCCTTCGGGACGAACCTCGAAGGAAGGACCGCGAACGAGCCGGACGCGTGGGACCGGCGACCCGGACGCGCGTGGGACCCGTGGGAGTTGAGAGAAGATCTGAAGGATGTGAAGGATCCGGGCTCCTGAGGGCTCCTGGCCCACCTCCGTTTCGCTTCGGTTCGGCCAGGGGTGGGTGCCAGGGGGGTCCCCACCGAACCTGAGGAGATGGTTTATGGTTGGAGCTTTAGGGGATATTCTTGGAAAGGCCCAAAGAAAGGGTGTTCGAGTTATACTTGCTCCCACTCACTAACATGGAGATGGAAAGTCCCCCTGCTCGCATAGAGCAATTCTGGTCTTCCCGGGACCTATTTTCCACGGCCATGTTAGTGGGTCAGAGAGAGGGAGAAGGCTCTTGACTCTTGATTCAAGGCTATCAGATGTCCATACATTTCCTAGGTTCCAGGGATCTTCTTGGCTCCCCAAAAAGTCTTCTGCGCTGACAGAAGCTGGGTTCTCTCGGTGACGACGTCTGAACCCGAGCGCGTCTGAACCCGTGGTCGCCCATGGGCAGCCAACTTCTGGAAGTCTTCGTGCAGTGCAGGGAGAATTTGGGAGAGAATTCTCAACCTCAATGCCACCACCCAGCATCTTGAGAACAAACCACTCAGTTGGAAGGTCCACTCGTTTGGAAGGTCCACGCATTCCCTCAGCCTCCCGGCGGCAGTCGCAAGCAAGGTGCCCCTGCTCCGGTGGTGTGTGGGTCGTCCACCTTGGCGGAAGGGACTGACCGAGAAGTAGTGTGACCAGGGTTTCATCGCGTGACATGACGATCTGATTTGGGAAGAACTGATTGACCCACCCTGACGCTGACTCTCACACACGATCATTATGATGTCGACTTCTAAAGTGTTCGGATGTGTTCGATGCTTTCCTTAAAAAATAGCCCAAGAATTGACAGGCTCCACTCCAGAGTGTCTCTTTCCTGCCATCGCCGCACAACCAAAATAACCAGCCAAAAAACACCACCACTTGGTTTCTACTCACACCGCCACTCCACCATCACCACAACAGAAGCAAACACCTGCGCCACACACGCCGTAACTCCCCGTCTGCCTAGCTTGTGCAGACCGTCTTTGAGGTCTTGCAACACCCGGGTGCCGGACCTTGGGCGACCGAGGTGTCGGTCGGTCTCCCGTGGTACTGCCCACATGGCAGGTGGGCAAAACCCACAGCACCAGCACCCTTCGGTCTCCAATTGAGACCTCAGACAGGGCCTAACAACCCGCCATTTCGGAGACCTGTTGTTGGAGGGTGCTGGCAGAAAATGACTGAAAAACATCCGAAAACAAAAACTGACAGATGGCGGGGCCCGTCTCCGGAACCTTCGTCCGCCGAGCAGGTCCAATGTTGACCTCTTGGATGAGAGGCACGAAGAAGTTGTGGGTCACGTGATGGAGGTCGAAACTCGCCAGAGTAACTCTAAATACTCTGGCAACTGGCAGCAGCGATGAAGCCAGGAGCGGCCAGAAATGAGATCTGTAAACTGTCTCGATGTACCTATAATTATGTCGTTGTCTGCTAGCCCAACTCTGCAGCTTCGGAAGCACTAACCATTCCTGTCCCCGTTGGGTCCCATCTGTCTCGCTCGCACTTCACTTCCCCCGCACGGTCGTTGTCCCCCGGTCACGTGCGACCGATGCACAGCCCTCTCAGCCCAGTGGCCCCCCTCCTTGGCAGCCAGATGATAGAGATCCGCCCTGTCGGCCCATCGACCGTCGGACCGGCGGTCAGCAGACCGACTGGACCTAGACCTGACCCGGTACCGATCTGGGCGCCGATCACCGTCCGATCTGGCTCCAAAAAGAAGGCTCCAATCACCTTCTTGCCGGGTATTTGTAGGGATCCAGTCGTACCTTCTCAGAAGGCACCTGGACCCTCCTGGCACCCACCCCAAACACCGAACCTGAGAAGGCACAACTGGATCCCTAGGGTATGATGTTTTTCAAAGTCTCCAATCACAACCTTCTGGACGGGGTATGTGGATCCATGGTCTCGAGCCGCCCCAGCGAGTTCGGGGCTCCCGCCTTCCTCTGCTGCCATGGACCATCGTGCTTCGCGGCCTTGGAACTGTGCGTTAACAAGGTTCTCGATGTGAGACTGACCTGTCCGGTGACCGGGTTTAATGCCAAGAGAGGTTCATTGACCGTAAAGGACGGAGAGGTCCCATGGGCCAGGGATAATTCGTCGAGTCTATAGGGTCCTTCAACCTCTCTGGGTCGTTGTTGCTGTGGGTCGTGCTGGGGGTTCAACTGCTTTCGACCGAAGACGCACTCAGCTGCCCCGGCCATTCTCTTCTTGGAGCAAGTACCTGAGACCAACAGCCGTCGCAGCCGGAAAGCGAGGCAGGACGCAGGACGGAGGACAAAACCAGCACGCAGGACGGAGGATATTTGGATCCGCCATTGAAGATCGAAGGTTCTGTTGAACGAGATGCAACGTGGACTCATCAAAGATGGCTCCACCATCGAAACTGGATTGGGCCAATGTCCAAAACAATATCAACTTAGTGTGGTTCATGCTTGGGGACCTCAACCAAGCTCTTGGTGAGGAATTAGACGAAACTTGATCTCAAAGTTCACATGAGCTTGTTCCACAAAAATAATCCCCATGCAGAACAAGTTGGCCTATTTAAAAACGCCTTTTTCCAGTGGTCAACAAGTCCCATTCAGTAGAGAAAACGTGGAGGAATGGGAGTCCCTCACTTGGCAATGAGAGTCCCTCTCCCAACCCCGGAAAGGACTCCCACAGCGATGGATTTCGCAGCTGGCTGCGTGTTCTGCACGGGGGTTTCCCTTTTGAAAACTCCCATGTGTCACTGTCTAACAGGGTCTGGGGAAAAGACAGGAGATGGTCTAAACGCTATTCTTTTCCAACATATCGCGCCGATTCATGTTCAACATCTTCATGGCTTCAAAACAGAGTTGTCGACATACCAAGAGCATGAATTGATCCAAGTCAGTATACACCTGCTGAACTGCTGAACCGCTTTTTTCTGGCTTTTGCTCCCGGACAAACCTGAGGGGCCCCCACGCTCCCTTGTGCGCCAGCAGCCGACCATACCTGGCCACCGTGTCGACACCGTCTGCGGGTCCGGCGACGAGGTTCCACGTTGGATGTTGGGGGGTTCGGTCGTTCACGTGTGTTTTTTTCTTGTTTGTTTTGCCCAAAGGCTAATGGGACCCAGCCCGCTCGCCAGGGTGACATGGAGCCTTCACCTACATGTAGCAGTTGCTTCGGGGCCGAGTTCGGGTCGCTTCTGGGTGGTGTATCACTTGTATCACTGACGCCCACATCCACATCCATGTCTCTCATGTCTGGGTCTGCACGTCTTGGACCAGCGTCTCGCTCCACGGTCGGCCATTCCTCGCTCGCTCGTGAAAGAGCCAGCGTCACGTTCGGCCGTCCGGAAGCAGGACTTCGAGGTTGGACGTGACGGTCCTGGGTCGGGCCATGACGTGCCGTCCGAGTGCCACGTGCCGTGCCCACGTCGACCCATGACGGTCCTCGATGGATCGGATGGATCGATGTGGTCATCCAAAGATCTCTTCCAGAGATGTCCAGCCATGATGATGATGATGATGATGATGATGATGATGATGATGATGATGATGATGATGATGATGATGATGATGATGATGATGGATGAATGATGATGATCATCATGAACTTCTATTGAAAGTTGAAGGTTCACATTCGAGTCTTTTGGAATGGCCCTGACATCGATGGCCCTTGGGGGGGTGTCAGAACCGTAACATCCAAAATACACCTCCTCGAAACCTGTTCGTTTTTTCAAAATCATGTGTAGACAAAGGAGACTCTTCTGAGACTCTTAGAGTAATAAACTTACCCACCCAATTTGAATTGGACATCCTCTTAGGGCCTGGAGTCTACATTAACCTCTTCCTCACCCAGTGTGCCAAGCCATGGGCCTCTCTGCGCGGCTTTCCAAGGCTAGTCATCCAGGCGCCAGTCATCCATCGCCGGTCACAAGCAAACATCAACCTCCCTCACCTGCTGGAACTCCATGTGAGTCAGCCAGTTCCAGCTGAAGTTGTGGAACTGCAATGGAGTCATGGTTTCCACCCCCCAAAATCCCTACTCCAGCACTTGACCTCAAAACCACTTGACCTCAACCAGCAAACGGATCAGTGCTGGGCCGCACGACCCAAGAAGCTCGTCTTTCTCCAAGTGCCGCACCTGCCGAAAACGGGCGGCACCCGGTGCTTCGTCCCACGTGGCTGGACAGACTTCCTTCTGCCGCTCCCATCAAGTCAGAGGCTTAGCCTCAAGGAGGTGGTGGACACCCGACGGGAGGTTATTACATGCTCTGGGTGGAGCATGGCACGTTTCTCTTTTCCACGGTGGAAGGGGATGTTCCTGATCACCAGTGGTTTGTGAGACAAGCTTTTTGAGAGACAAGCATGTGTCAAGGTGGCCACACTGCTGGGCGTGGCCACGAAATGGGGCACGTCATTTCCTGAATTGTGCGGGACTTCATGTTCCTGCATGTTGAAAATGAGCACTTCAGAGTCTGAAACACTTCTCCTCGCAACCGGTGTCCAAGCAAGTGATCAGGAGATGGTCCAAGGCAAACTTGGTCCCTCTACATGGACCCTCCTGTCGGGGTGTCCAATGGACTACCCCACACTACCTATAGGCTTCCAGACAGGGCACCCCGACAGGAGGGTCCTGGTACATGGGCATGCCCCTTCCTGATCACACTTGTGTTCAGGTCACCACATGTCGGTCAAGCTCGCTACGGACGGACGCACTGGTCGGGCTCCAGGGGTTCGCCCCAGCACTCCCTGAAATCATCCATGGGACAAGCACGTGGAGTTCGGATGGCATCGCCTCCAACACGAGTGACTCACTTAAGAACGTGGAGTCTTAAGACCCCAAAGAGGTGGGTGTTCACTCACTTCACATCACCCTGATTCCTTCCATCTCATGGCGGCATGGCTTACATCTCTCTGCGGCTTCGCCCGGCCTCCACGCAGCTGGATTTCCGCTGCGAGTCCCGCAGCTGCAGCGTGGCAGAGAGAAGCACCTGGATGGGGTCTAGACCAAGCCGGAAGGGCTTCGAATGGAGGCTTCGGATGGAGGCAGCCGGAAGCGGCGGACGGGTCCCAGGAGTTGAAAAACATGAAAGAGACATTGAAAGCGCAAGACGTGTAATTGTACTTTCAGATACTTTCAGAAAGCGAACTGTTTTGGTGGGTGACAATTCCTCTGTGTCTCTTGCATGAAGAAAGAAAGACATCAGCAGAAGTCCCAATCAAGCTCTACTAAAATTGCCAGGAAAATGCCTTGCAGGATCAAAAGCAGCAGGACTTGCATGGCAAAACCAGTGACATGTGGTGTGGACCAACATCTTCTGGACAAAAATACACAGAACCGAGTGACTGGCAGAAAGAAGAACGATGCCTACACACCCCCCCTGGCAAAGACCCACATGGACCCGGGCTTGGACCAGACTGGAAGACGATGTTCTGAATTACAGGCGCCAGTCTTCGGCTTTGATGTGGGTCTCTTCGGGTTTGACCGAGCGACCGGCCGCGAGCGACCGGTCTTCGGCTCCACGAGGTCTGACCGACCGAGCTGCTCGATGAGAGTTCTGGGAGAAGATGTTCAGAGACCAACCGCCATCGCTGTCCTGGCACAGATGCCGTCGCAGCTGCCGCACAGAATGTCGTCATGGCATGCGCCGTCGTCCTTGCCCCGGGAAAATTGCCCCGAATTCTGAGCGTGTTTGGAAAGCGAACCTTCCTAACGAGTCTCCGGTCCGCGCCGAACTGTTCGGCAAAGCCTGCCAGGCTCGGATGTGAGCTCGGATGTGAGATCATATCCACCATTCTCACACCCTCCGACCAGCTTTTGGACCAGGAAGGAAAGGCCCTTCCCATCGCTGGACTTGCAAGACGATTTACAAAAATGGTCGACCTGGCTTAAAGCCACTATACTGTCACTGTGAATATGCATTTGGCTTCTTGTGGTTTCTTGTTTAAAAGTGCTGGATCTTCGTGGGTGAAGTGCCAGTTAGAGTGGGTGAGTCTTCTTTGTAGTATCAAATCCTTCGTTACACATGTGGTGCGCCGCCAACTTCAATGGAACGGTGCTTGGAGGAAGTCGCTACAAGTAGGGGGGGGTTCGGAGTCGCCACACTCCGGCCAGCTCCGAATCGAGCCGCCGCTGCGAAGACCCATGATGACTCATTCGGTGCGGTACCAGTTCTTGCTCTTAGGGGTTTGAAAATTAGACTTTTCGGGAGGGGGAAGTCGTTGAGGTGAGTCGTTAAGGGGGGTCCCTGACAGGAGTATGTACCTTTACGGGGTCCCCTCTCCTGGCCAGTCTCTCTCCCAGTCTCTCCCTCTCTCTCCCCCATGCCGCCCGGGAAAACGAGGGAACCCGCCTGGAGGGGCTTCAACGGCACCTGAGACTCCGCTCGACTTCGCTCGGACCCTGAGACGAACGGAGACTCGTCGGATGTAAGCGGTTTCGGGCGGTGAGGCGGTTTGGCCAAGCCCCGCCACCCAGCAACTCCCGTCCACCTTTTCAACAACACATTGGCCTCACTGGCCTTTCCCCCCCCCAAATAGAAAAGATGTCGTTTTGGTTCATAAGGGGGTTCTCCAAAGAGGGAATATCTAAAAAAAGAGTCCATTTAGGAACTGTGGGTACTCAATTAAGAAAAAGGTGTTCTTAGGAAGCATGTGTGTTTTTTTTGGACAGCCTGGGTTGTTTAGGAACCTAATAAGAAAGACAACCCCAAAATCGCCTATGTGTTTGGTTTAGTAGTATATAGTTTAAGAAGGCGGTAAGTTCAGAACAACTATAAACCCTATTTAGGGGTCTGCGACATGCGTTTCTTTTTTTGCGTAGTGTTGTCTTAAAAGTTGCACAACAGGCAAGCCAGCTGCCGATCTCCCACCTTTTGTCCTGCGGTCTCCCCATCTCAGTACTCATACCGACTCTCCATGTATGGCGGCTGGTTGAACAGTGGAAAATTCTGGAGCAGGCTGGCCACATCTTCCATCTCGCACACCAAACCAACTGAACCTCCCCCAAACTGCTTGCGCGCCCGCGCCCCCCCGCGCAGGATCGGACGAGCTACGATGAAGGGCGCGTGCATGGCCGACAGGAGCTGTGGACCTCGATCCCGCCAATGGGACGCCCCGGGCGTTGGAGCTTGAACGGAAGTACTCCAAGTGTCCAGGTCAGCTGGGACGGCCAAATCTCGGGATCCAGATTTGGGGAGTCCAGCTCATTTCCCCAAGTGGGCTGCAAGAAAATCATCCCAAGAACAGCCCCACGGGATGCTCTCATCGTTGAACGACCTGCGCCATGGCTGGGCTCCTCGACGCCACAGAGAGGTACTGAGTCCCGTGGCACATGGCGGGCAAAGCCTCTTGCTTGATGCTCTCCGCTGGCTCCACAAAGGGCACCTGCACCTCAGGCCGTGCTGCGGAACGAGCTCTTGGTGCCTTCGCTGCAGACAAAAGGCAAAGCAGTAGTCAGTAGATGTCAGTAGTGCATCGTTTCAAGGGAGGAACGAAGAGAACAAGGCGCCTTTATAGTAGGGCCCTACGGAAATCACAGGTTCTGTTCCCAGACCTCTATGGAGTTGGCCATACAATAAAGCACCACGTCTGACTGAGGTTTTATAAGGACCCAGGTGGTGAGGGAGCTGTGAGGACGGTCGCTGGGGGGGTTGGACAGTCCCGAGCATCGAAGCAAACCATGCCGAACACACCGGCTGCATCTGCATGTGAAGCACATCATCCCGCATCATCCCACACCCCCCGCAAAAGATGTGTTTGCAAATTGTTTTGACCTAAAAAGTGATAGACGTCGATATATGTCGATATAATAAATGGTATAATATAGAAGAAGACTCTCTTGCCGTGTCTTCGCCTCTTTTTTAAGTGAACTCTTGCTAAGTCTCTGTTCCCCAAGTGGGTCTCTTCCTTCCACGTCCGCCCTCCGCTCCGGACACTTCGGGGCGGGACGACGTGCTCGGCCTGGGCGGATGGAGCGTTTGAGACACCGAACGCACCGGTGGCATGTCTGTCACACATCCCCTTGCCTTTGACTTTCTTTTTGTGTTTGTTCACTCCGATCATCACCTGACCTCCGTAGTGCTGGAATTTGCGAACGGATGCATGGTTTTCTTTTTGCAGTTCCAGGCCTTCCAGGCTCCAGTGTGAGTACAACTCTTACTCATGTTCGCTGGTCTGTTGCTGTAAAGATCATCAAACTCTGGCATCCTCCTCCTCGTTGTCGTTTGGACTCTGCAGACTCGAAGGCCTCGTTCGGCTCCGACTTGAAGATCTCCTGGAAAGCCACTTGAGCCTCGCGCCGGATCCGCGCCGCGCGGCCGCACTCGCGAAGCGCGTCGCGCGGGTCGCGTCGCGCGCGTCGCCGAAGCTGGTGATGAGTATGGGCTAACATCTGGAAGAACGAGTTTTTGGGAAGACTGGAACATCTAAGCTAGAGTTCCTATCAAGATGACCTTCGGAATGAGCTTCAAACAGTCTGACCCACGCCCGAAATGCCGACGGGCGTCACTTGCGCTTTCTGGGGCCCGGTCGAAGCACCAGAGCAAGCCGAAGAAGCATAGGAGCATCGCTCCAAAGAGGAGAAAAATCACCTTATAGGATCTCGCAAAAGTCCGGGTTTTCATATGTTTTCATCATATCATGGTGGTCCGATGCATATCTCTAGAACAGCTCCGAAATTCCATGTCTGTCCTCTCTGCCCCCTCCTTCTCCCTGCCTCCCCCTGGCCTCGCAACTACTGAGAGGCCTCGGAGACTGCGCAGATGGGCTCGACTGAGACCCGTGCCGTGGTATCAGTGCCATCCACCTTGCTGGCAATCTGAGCTAGGACCACCTCAGAGCGCGGCGGCCAGGGCAGGCATGTAGTAGCTGCGTCTGCAGCAGACGGGGTGGCAAACCCTATTTCTTCCACTGAACACGACGGCTGGTCGTTCGTGTTGTGCATGGAACGTGTTCCACGCACACGACCTCTGCCCGAAAACCGAAAAACACACACCGGAACTCACTCTGCTTGACTTCTGAGGGATTCTTGAAACCTCCAGTTCTTCAGCTGCATGCGCTGCTATGCTCGGCAGTCTAAGTCTCAGACCGGGGATCGCTCCTGAGATCTCGTGCTCGGCCGGCGTGGCCCGAGTCGGGCCGACCCGGGGTTCGACCGAAGTTATGATCCAGGAAGGATGAATTGATCCATGTGGCTTAAACGACGCCCCTTTGAGCTCCTGGCCTACCTGACTAACCACCGAACCTGAGGAGATGGGCCAGGAGCCCAAACGGGACGTGTCGAATTGAGCTCTGCAAAATACGTATGATTAAACACATAACTTTCTTACGCTCCTGCTTACGCTTTTCTTACGCGACCACAATGTGAGCTTACGCGCCACGGATGTCGAAGAAGACCTTACACAAATCTTACGCTTCTGTATTTTCACAGATGAGAACCATACTCCCAAGGAAAATGCTTACGTAAAGGATCCTTTTTGCAGGTGAGCCGGCGACAAACACATGATCACTAAGACTCCGCAGCAAAGGAAGCAGAGGGTCACTAGCATCTATATACTTACTGGCTGCCGTGGGCTAGGGTAGGCAAATGAAAAGTTGGCTTACGCGAACCTTACGCGAACCTTACGCGAACCTTACGCGAACCTTACGCGAACCTTACGCCACCAAACCCTCACCGAACGGAGCCTGGCATGCTATGACATGTTATGATGGGCTGACTTGAGAAAGGTTTGATACAGAGTGGCAAACACAAACAAGCACAGTCCACACAAATGTCAGTTCCCAAGGGTTTCAAAGCTCTCATGGTCCACAGTTCCTTTCTTGACAAGCGTGCGCTAAGAATCTACTAAAAACACAACCATATGGCAAGCTTACGCAACATGCATGTCTCACAACTCCCTTACGCAACCTTACGCTTTTCAGGTTTTTGCTTACGCCCAAGTTCCATATGACAAGGCCTTTACTTAGTTCATCTTGGGAGGTTTCTTGCAGTGCTCAATTGGTTTTCGCTTCTACTAGCGCTGGGGTTTAGTCACCCGGGTTTGCAGAAAGTCACCCGGCCGCATGGAAACGCAGCATTAGTCAAAAGTCACCCGGCTCGCGAAAAGTCGCCCGTTTTATGTTAAAACACAATGTAAACGCTCTACGGAAGTATGTTTGTCAAAACTGCTATACATCAAGAATTCACTGCGCCTGTGCAGGAAAGAACTAGTTTATGTCGAAGTTTGCAGCGTTTTGGTGACCGAACCCCAATCAGAACGCAAGGTTAGGACTATCGTGAAGATTACCCCCTAAACATAGATGCAGCATGCTGCCCTGCTTGCTTTGCTCTTCAAGAGCTGTGCATTGATGACCTTCATGTGGAAAAGATCACTAAAGGAAACATGGTGAGGCTGGCACGAGTGCCACGCGAGTCTTTTCGACCCTGTCGCGAGTGCCGCGCGAGTCCCATGCACCCATGTACCCACACCCCATGTACTCACGCCCCATGTACCCAAACAATGGTGTTGAACTGACGCTCCAAAGCTTATCTTCCAATGAGGGTGACATCTTGCATCTAACCCCAATGCAAACGCAGCATCCAAACAATGTTGTTGACCTAATGCTCTTCCAGTTATATTGCCATCTTGCATCTAACCCCAATGGAAACGCAACATCCAGACGACTTTTGACAAGACCAGACGACTTAACACAAGTGCTTGTATCCAGTTGAAAGAAGACCCTCAAAGGTGGTGCTTCTTTGCGCAAAGCAACCGTCACTGGGTCAGTCTCAGGGACTTAAGCCATGCAGTTCTGCATGGAACTATTCTATCTACGATGTTGCATGGTAGTCAGAGATCGTCGACCTAGACACCAGTCTCAGGGTGCACCTGGCAGCTGGAAAAAGAGACATCATCCTTGCAAAACCCTCTGTGACGCACACAAAACGGACAGATGTGCGTCGATGGTGCATGCTCCAACCAACCGACCACCAACGGCTCATTGATGGCGCTCTGAGCCCCAGGACCCGTATGTGGTGCGCGAGCTCCAGGAAGCGTCCTGAAACCAAAGGTAGGTCCCCATTTGTTCGACGCTGTGGGGACTCACCCAGTTCAATAGAGCCCATTTTGGTCGCTGATTGAACTTCACTGAGAAACTTGAGACGGTTCAGCAGGACAGGGCACCAAGTGGGACAAGGGAACAAGCATGGCAAAGACCTTCGGCTCCTTCCGCACCTGCAAATAGAGAACTAGCTCTCGTCTCGTTGCTCACGTTCTGCCTGGCTAAATTGCGAAGGACACGGACTCTCTCAGGTCTCTCTAGAAAAACTAAAAGGTGAACAGGTGAACCGAACAACCATTGTTTCACTATAGGGTTTTGCACTACAAAATTAGGTCAACTGTAAAAATGGTCGACTTGACTTCCAGGGTCGTTCGGTGAACCGAACTACTTTCAATTCGTGGGGGGTGTCCCACCCCGACGATGGGCTTGTCTCCTTTCACGCATCTGGTCGCGCGTACAGTACCCCGTTCGGGATCCATGGAAATCGGAAAAAGTCGTCGCACCCACACGCGACCCTGGGCCCGAATCCTGAGGGGTCGGACCTGAATCCTCTGGAGGGGTCTGGGGTCGAACCAATCCCTAGGGTTTTGAGGGACCAGTCGAGCTGTGAACGGAGCGTCTGGGATGAAGTGAAGCATGCAGATGGAAAGAACACATGAAGAACACCCTTCCTGGGTGTTCGGGGCGCCGACGGAATTTTTCCGCGAACCATACCCGCATTTTGGCGTACCACTGCCTAGAGCTGCACGCCTGGAAGGGCCAGGTAGTCTGGAGCTCTGCATCCATGAGACTTCATCTGCACCTTGGACGCAAAACATCAGCAAAGCACCAAGGTGTCGTGGCTGCCATGCGAGGGCGGCGACACTGGCGGCCGGCCGAGCGGAGATATCTCGGTTTTCGGAGACATCTCGGGTGGAGTCGACGATCCGTCGAGTTCTTCGGGGTTCCAGGTGCGGTCTGGAGCTGTGTGGCTTCGGTCTGGAGCGAGCGTCCGACGCGTGTCGTGTCTTCGACGCCCAAGAACAAGCGAAGCAAGCGGAAGTCCGGTCGCGTGTCGCCCACCACCGGTGGTGCCGGAGTTCTGCGGGACCGGAGAAACCTGGCGTTGGGACCTCGACCAAAACTGTTCCTCCCATTCAATGTATTGGATGAAAGGCACCAGGGTGGAAAGCATGGCTCCCAGAGAAGTGGCCAAGTGTGGAAAGTTCGATTCCCTTTAAGAAAGGGCCACATGGTTTGGTGGTGTTCATGGTCCTCTGCAGGTGAACACGAGAAATTTCTGGAGGAAACCGGAGGAAACCGCACAGAATCCGATCCACTTTGGGCGAACCGTCTGTCGTCTCTCCGGTCTTCAGACCCCCGGCTCGGCCGTTCGGCGGAGATGAGCACCTCGGGGGGGGCCGTGGATGCTAAAACGGGTCGAACGTGATGGAACCGCAGCAGTGACTCGGCCTGTTGACTCAGCCTGTTTCTGACTGGAAGTTATTATACCCAGACGCTCCAAATAGGCCTTGGTCCCTCAAAACCATAGGGATTTGGGGGTCCGGACCCCTGCATATGAGGGTACGGCCCCTACTTAGGAGGGTCCATGAGCGTCTGGGTAAGTGGTTTTTCAGATGTCTTCGGGGTCCTATTGGAACCTTCAACTGTTCCTTCTCTTTCTTTTTCTCTTTCTCTTTCTCTCTCTCTCTCTCTCTCTCTCTCGCTCTTTCGTGTGGATTCTTGGTCAATGCCAGTGGATGGTTTGATGAGAATTGAACTCAAGCGACCCCGATGGTCTCTGCGGTCTGCGCCCGTCTCCTCTCGCCACGTCTCGTCTCTTCCCGTTGATCCTTCCGAGTCTTCTTCCAGCAAAGCAGACCCCCGTGTCAGCCATCGTGTCAGACCTGTGTGTCAGTCATCAAGACCTGTGCCATGTAAAAGAAATGTATGTCCAAAAAGGATCAAAACACGAGTCTGACTCCGACCTGTTTCTCTAAGATCTCTCCTCCCAAAACCACGAAAGAATAACGCAGTCATTTTCTCTGGGCCTCCCCGCGCAGAAAGAGACGAGCAGCCAGCGGTTCAGCATCGGATCATGGGCCTTGGGCGGTGAAGGCCAAGGCCGATGGTCAAAGCGTCTGGTTCCAGCCGTGCGGCTCGAGCTGTAGCATCAATCCTCTTCTTTTTTGGGGGGTGGGTTGATGAATCAAGTCAGGAGTGAGCTCTAGATGATCAGTACATCATATATTAATTCATATTACGTCAATCCAAAATAGGAGGGGTTTTATACTAATTACCATCAAGTCAAGAGTATACCACCTTTTGTTGTCCATGTCGCTAATTGTTGTCTTTTGGTATGCAAGGACGAGAATTGTTGTCCGGGACGTGTTTTACCGTAATCGCTGAACTTGGTCTTTTCACAACACTCAAATATATATATATATATTAATATATTATATCAATAGTATTTAGGCTTTGGACGTGAAAAACCGTTCAGCATTTCAAAAGGACGTAAATTCACAAGATGGACGTAAATGTTGCAAGAACTTGCAAAAAGCTATCTTTTAGCATCCTGGACTGGAATTGGGATCTATCCAGGGTAGCAAGTCTTTCCAGAATTTAGTATCCCTTTTCGAGAATCTCCAAAAGCTGCCAAGGTGCATTGAGGGCTCCTACTTCTTCGCGCCAAGCGAAGCTACGGCGTCTACCCTCAAAAGCCCGCGTGAGTCTGCCGCAGGCGAGTCGTCGGGAGCGGATCCCAACATCGACGATGCGAGCTCTTCACGATCCATGTCATGACCACCCCTGCGGAGGGGTATTCTTGTTTTTGGGGGTAGGCATCACATGGCGTCAGAGGGCCTGGGTGGTGTGGCTCCATCCAGGGCCTCCAGGGGCTGTGGATGTGTCGCGAGCACCAGTCGACTCTCCAGGCGTGGCGTGTCTCCTCTTCGCCACGCCCGTCTGAAGACGCCCCACGTCCTTTTTCGGCGTCCAGACCCACTTGGCGCTTCGGGGCAGGCATGCGGATCAACTCCTTGAAGTCCGGGAAAAGCCCAAGAGCTGAGAATGAATCCGCCCCTTCATCTCAAAACAACAAGTTCACCTGAGATTTACCAGCACCCTCCAACAGGTCTCCGAAATGGAGGCTTTTGTAGACTTAAAAGTCGCAAGTGGTGACCTGGCAGTGAGGGTCCTGGTAGATGTTCACTCATGTTTACTCCAACAGCACTTCCAGGTTTGGCACCTTCGTTTCGGTTCTGGGCGGAGATTCCGTCACGGAGGGTCGTAAAAACACCATCGCCTTCAGGCGCCCCAAGCTTCGAATGAGTGGGCCATCTTTGGATTGAAACCACACTCGGTGCTTTTCCTTCTTTTGTTTGAGACGATACCGCGACATGTCATACCCCAACCCAAATGCGAGGTGAGGATACCCGCAGGGAACCCTGCTGGCCGGCCGCCGACGCGCGCCGGGTGGGGGGTGTACTAAAACAGACCCCAAAGACTCGTGGAACACCTTGTATAGCCTAAAACAGACCATTCAAAGAAAGGTTGACCTGGTTTTGTTAGTGTACAATCCTCAGCAAAACCATGGGCTTTGCGGTGAAAACCATTAAATCAATAGATCACCCGTTGGTTGTGGGGGAAGCCCCCCCCGTTTTGCAATAGTTCTCCATGTTTGTCCCGCCATGTTGCTGCAATGTAACACCATGCGTCTCCTTCTTCTCAACCCAAGACTTCCGCTTCGGTTAATCCAGGACCGCCGGAGTTGCGCTAAACCTCGAACAGCGCAACTTCTGCGGAAAACCTCCCAAGCGAAGCTGCGGTTTGCGCCGCGCAACTGCTGTAAAAAACGATCAAATCCAAGCGAAGTGAAGAACCTCCTGTGTGCTTTGCACAGGGGTTGAACACGTTGAACAGCTGAAGCGAGCAGGTCCAATCTGAGGGACGTGGATCTGCACCGAATGGCACCCTTTATTTGGATAGAGGCGCAAGTGGTTTGGTTGTTTGGGTTCCATAGTTCCATGGTCCAGCCGAGCACTTGTTGAAAAAAGAAAGCTCGAGCTCCTTCCTCGTGAACCAGTGATGCTTTTTCACTCAAATCGGAGGGTCCCAGCAGCCCCAAAAAAGCGTCCTTAAACTCATGGTAAAGACTTCTCTTCATCCTCAACCTTGGCCTTGTCGGCACTCACCCAGCGCAGCACTGTGCTTGGTACACCAATGCCTTGGAGAGTGTGCAAGGACCAGGACCAACTCATCACTGCTCAAACACGAACCGAAGAAGGCGTTGCAATGGCGGCCAATGGCCCACTGAAGACTGCTGTGCTCTACGAACTGAAGCTTGCTGCAACAAAGATGAGTCCCAGAGGGGTCCACACGGGTCCACTGCTACACCCAAGTCGTCCAAGAACCACCTCACACCGACCTCCTCCCTGTGCCCCTGTGGACACACGTGCCCATGTCCAACACGGAAGGGTCCCACAACAAAGGTCCACAGTGAGATGAGTGAGATCGATGGTCCACAGCCGATCCTGTCTGTCCCAACAAGCTCATGCATCCCACCGACACATGGGGTGTGTCTCTGAACCAGGAGGTCCGTGTCCTGGCCTTTCAATGGGTTCTTGCCACGAGGTCCGACTGACAGCTCTTCCCTATCTCTTCTCCACGGGCCCCACATGAAACCTCCCATCGGATGGCTGAGATGCTGTAGAGTGTGGTCGCTATGAGCACACACAGCGTACCCAGCACGAACAGCAGGTCTGGCTTGAACTCCTGCCACTGGACATCGCTGGTTTCTTTGGGGCCTTGCTCGAAACCGTGCCAGTGAAAAAAAACCTGTGAAAATATCTCAGAAAAAGAATTCCGCCTCCAAAATGAACCGTTGCTCCTCCCTCCCTCCCGACTCGTGGGACCAGTTCACGGCCGTCGCTTCGCCGCTGCGGCGTGTTCGTCCGGGAGGGTTCGCGGGCGCAGTGGCCTGCAAGAAGACCGCCGACATGATACAGCTGATCACCTGCGCGGCGGGAGGCTTCGCCGGTCCTGGTGGTGGTCCAATGGCGCAATTTTCCGGTGAAAGGGAGAGAATTGGGTCCAAGGGCTTTTTGGAATCGGTTTGGGATTCGAGCGGATTCGACATGGTGTCCTTCGTTCGTTAGGAATCTGACATGCTCCGGAAATACCGTCTCAGAAGAGCAGGAACATGTGAACTCCACCGGTCCACTTGGATCTGAGGCCAGGGCAATGGACAAGGCATTGCCGAAGCACTTGAGGATATTGTCCGCATACTTCAGCACTGCAGCCACCACCAGTCCACCGATGGCCTGCGTTCAAACCGCGGTGCGGAAAAAGGGCCTTCCCCTCAGGCCATGGAGAGAAGCATGTTGGTGCTGGAAAGCCTCTTGCCAGGTCAGACACCCCCCGTTCAGTGGCTCGCCCCGAAGGGTCCACTCGTGCGAGACGCGGAAGGTCCGACGGGTCGTCTCTCGACGAGCGCGCCTGCAAGGCGATCACGGCCCAGACGAGGCCCGAATAGCCTGGGAAGGTCGGCACCCCCAAAGGATCGGGGAAGGAGAGCTGAAGAACTTCCAAGATGGGCTGAAAAGCTCCTTCTCTTGGAAGAGATGGGCTTCGGCTGCTTTTCCATGGACATGACAACCTCAGAGAACACGTAGTCATCTGCATACTCCATGTACGTTCCACCGTCCACGGATGTATCTGCCGAGGTTGGACCATCTGTAGACAGGAAGGCAAGAAAGAGGTCCCATGTACAAACACAAAGCTGAACAGTGTACTTGCTGTGTAAGTACAGAACCCAAATATCAAAAGAGTGGATCACCTGATTGAAAGTGTGATGGAAATTGCTTCCAGCTTCTATACCAACATGTTTCTGATGTTTCTTATTAGGGCGTACGTCCACGAGCTGGATGAAGTCTCGTTGTCAATGACCCGGCAATTTCTCTGGTTTGCTAAAGAGCTCACTTGCGGGTCTGGCACACTTTTGGTTTCTGGACTTCTTGTTGATCATGACCACCATCTTTTGTGATGTGAATATTGACAGAAAATGCTGCATGACATGCGTGCAAGTTGCTTTTTCGCTTCGGGTACAAGTTGTAACATTGCGCCAACGTTGGAACACGTGTTGTAAGAACTTGTTTGGATCGGTTCAACAAATGAGTTTTCGTCATTCGTTTAGGACCAGCTCTTCCGAGAAGGTGAAGAGCTGGCCTGGCTACGGCTACGCCTGGCTAACCAGCAGCTGTCGAGATGTCATGTCGTAAACAAAGGACCAAAGTTCTCGAACTCACCTGCGTTGTTCGGCCACTTTGGTCTCTTCATCCTTCTCCAGCGAAGAGGTCATCTTGAAAACGAACACCCGGGCTGTACAAAAACACAGAGACACGTGTACCGGGCAGTGCCGCATGGCGGTGGAGGAGTGGAGGATCTTTATTCAGCAGGTACAGTAAGTAGTGCGCTTTATAATTTAGATATACCAGGACCCTCACTGCCAGGTCACCACTTGCGACTTTTAAGTCTACAAAAGCCTCCAGGTTTCAGTGGATGATGGTTTGGGTTAGAGGCCTTGTTAAAAAATGATGCTGATTAATAATTGTTTACTGGCTGTTACAGGTAATAGGACAGACCCTATAGATACAGAATACATACCTATAGCCTATAGCACTTCCAACGGGTGCCCAATGGAGACCTGTAAGTAGGGTAAGGTAGTGTATTGGACACCCATTGGATGACCCTGGTACTATGATATGATATGCATGCTTTGCTACAATTGAGGAGTTCCCGATTTGGCTTGACAACCCACAATGCTGGAAGCAGCCTTGCATGAAGCCGTTCTCCGCAATCTTCTTGCCATCTTGCACGTAGCACCCGATGAACGCAAGGATGCCACCGAAGAAGGCCAGCTGGATATTCCTGGAGGACTACCGAGAGGAATAGAGACTTGGGTATGGCTCAAGCCCAAGTCTAAAGCAATTTAAAGAAACATCCCAAAGGCCGTGTGAGAGAGTGCAAGACCCATGTTCACATTCAAAACAGAAATCTTCTCATAGTAGTAGGTTGGATGCCACTTCTGTTAGGTGGGAGGCCATCGCCTGTACCTGCTCTGTTGTTCCCATTGACCACCACCAAAACATGCGTCTTTTCGCTTCAGCCAACAAGAAAAGGGATTGTCATGGACTGCGGTCCAAAGGCCCTTGGGTCGGGCTCCGTTTGACCCATGGTGCTTCGCGTTCGCCAACCCGGTCCGCGTTCGCCAACTACAGAACGGTCCGAAAACCTGGAGCGTTGCCCCGTTTCACGGTGTTTTTGGGGTCGACAGACCAATTGCTCCCCGCTCCCCGCTGTTCCCCTGTTCAGCTGTCCGCGTCCCGAACACGCGTCCCGAACACCGCGCACGGACCGCCCGGACTTCGCACGGGAGGAGGAGTCGGCCTCATCCAAATCGAGGAGTCGGTTTGCTTGAGGATCTTTTCAAGGTACACACCAGCTAACCTGGGAGACGCTTCTCCACATGCGGAGAAGAGGGTAGACTTGGTGATTTTGGTGGCCTCCTTACGTGGAGTATCCTGGTACCAACAACTAAAAACCGCTTCAAATACACAACAAAAAATCCTTCCAGCTCTACTCTACCCTGCTCGCCAATCCACAGCACTTCACTCCTGCAGCGCTGTGCTTTCGGTCCGTCTCAAGTCGCGTGTTGCTCAGACCCAGGTGGCGCAAACGGCTCGTGTCATGCGTGGCTCTCGAGGATCGATCCGAGGCAAGACCGAGTCGATGCGTTCGATCCTCTGCGATGCTAGTAGCGATGTAGCGTCCTTGTTCCGTTCGTAGCGATGCCCGTTGCATGCTCCGTTCGTAGCGATCGGATGGGTTGGACCCCAAACGTCTACCCGCTTCCTTTTTCGCGAGACGACATCCTTTTGTTTTGGGTTCCGTGGACGCCATGGAATGACGGGAACATCCCATGCGAACGCAAGATTGGTTCGTTCGTGTTCGTTGTGGTGGATGAGCCAGTGATCCTGCAGAAAAATACCTGAAAACTTTGAGCCTTAAAGATCTAACAAAGCAGCTCTTGTGCCTGCTTTCAAGCCACGTCTTCCCACAGTCTCCCCAACATTCAAGACCATCCTCCGCCGGCGCTCACCTGCCCCACTGGTAAAGCCGAAAGACCCACTGGTAAAACAGGCGGAGATCACTGCCGCCAGTCCAACCACTGAATCTCCTTTCTGTACATCCTCCGCCGGCGCTGAACAACTACGACGACGCGCTCCAACCGACACGGTTTCGCTGGAGCCGGAGACGAAGCACGCGGGTGACCGCCGTGAGGGAGAAAACCGTCCGGTTTTTCGCGCGCGGAACCCACGAGATGGAGTGAGGTGTTTCAACAACGACCTTGTTGGGGTCTGAGTCGACTCATTCCTGGGTTCTTCAGTACATGACCGAACCATCTTGATCACCTGGTTGCGCACCGGTCACGGTTTTCGGTTCACGGTTTTCGGCCACAAGCGGGTCACGCATCGGAACCGGTCACGGTGTCCGACCGAGGGTCCGACCTGTCGACGCCCGGGGCGTTTCGGGGAAGTCGACGAACACGAACGCCCGAAGGCTGTGGAAGGCTGTGCGGGCTGCGCGTCTCATCTGTGCGGACAGTTTTTGGGAAGGCCAGGGCCTAAGGGGAAGGAAGCGGAAGTCTTTGGGAGTCGCGATTGGGGGCCTAGCAGCGAAGTCATTGCTCTCAGTCTTTTCTGGCTCATGTCGTTCTGGATTTTTGTGCAACCTAGGAGTTCACCTCATGTCGGTCATTTCGAAGATTGTGAGCACTTTCAGGTGTTCCATGGTGTCCCTATATTAGACATCTGGTGATGGGTGCTACGAATACTCCCAAGCCACCAAAATCATCCTCTGGCACATCGGGCCACCTTTCAAACGGCTTCTTTCTTCGCTGCTACACCCCATTCCAAAACAGATCCACAAAAATCCGGTGGATGTCACCACCAACCGCCACATCCATCCATCCATCCATCCATCCGTCCGTCCGTCCGTCCGTCCGTCCGCGTCCATCCATCTCTCCCCACAGCCATCGGTGCGGTCCTCCTTCGCTTCACCTCTGGGCAACTGGATCAAGGCCACGCCAGTGGTCAAAATCAGCAGTGCACACCACTTGGTGCTCCCCAGTGCCTGGTGGGCTGAAACACAGGAGGGCAGAAAGGCTCAGAAAGGTGTGGAAGGGTTCTTTCCCCTGGAAAAAGGGAAAGAGCAGGACTGGGAGAGCAGTGGAGGCCCGATTCCGAAAATCTCTGGAAAATCTATGAAAATCTTGAGCCATTCTGTTCCACAGGTGTGTATGAATCTCTGCTGCATCCTTTCCACCCGTTCCGCCCAATTCTGACCGACCAGTCTCGTCCTCATGCTTCCTGCTTCCTGCGCCACCGGGCCTCGGTGTTCTTGCCCTGTTGAACCTGTGGTTGCTCGAGTTGCTTTTGTATATCTTTTCCGGTGAGTCAACTCGCCCGTCTCCGCGTTTCTCGGTCTCTTCGCCTTGTTGAGGATCAACATACTCAGCACGGCAGTGGTGAGAATCTTCAACTGATAGGTCACTTGGTAGACCGCCCCACTGAGGTTCGACAAGCTGATGAACAGCAGATTGTTCTGCACCTCGGGCGAGGTCACGCACGGGAAGACGACACACCGGAAGTGTCGGAACCGAAAACGGTGCTGTGGGGACGGCGATCCACAAAACGTCTCGTGGTCGGGTGCCTTCTCTTCAACCCTTCAAAGAGTTCGATGGACCTCTTGAAGGGGATCTCTACCTGTGGATCAGACGCTAAAGCAACTACCAGGGGTCACAGAGCTCGGGGTGGTGTTTGGTTCCTAAGTGAGTGGAGTAGTCGGGCTGTGAACGGAGTGTCTGGGCACTGACTCACTCTGCGGCGCCGTGACGGTTTCTGTCGAGTGTGTTTACCACCCCAAGCACGTTTCCCGTGTCCGGGAGACACGAGAGACACGAGCTCGACCAGACTCACCCACGACTTCCTCATGTGCCGTGTAGAGTCGAGACGCCGTGTACAGCAAAGAGGGCACACTCACCTTCAGGAGCTCCACGCCACTCCTGCACGCGGCCACGCGGACAGGACGAGGCGAACACGACGAAGACTCGGACGGACGAATGGCGCCGGTTGGAGGGATGGCGTTTTCGCCGATGCTGGATGTGCCCACGGTGGCTTGAAAAGCGGCAACAAATACGTAAGGCGGCGAATTGGCAAAGAGTCGTCTTTCCATGAATCTTCCGGGTTTTTCGACACTTCATGTCCTGGTGGTGTAGACTTGCCTCAATGAATTTGTACCCCTTAGCCTTCGACCAGGTTGACAGGTTGTTGTGCCAATTCCTTCGTCCAAACAGCAACAGCTGGGTTCCGGTGGTTCGGATCCAGCCAAGTGTGCGTTGAACTCGCCAAGAATGGCGCCAGGCGAATTGGTGCACTGCTGCGGTGGTTCGGCATGCGCCAAAGGAGAATGCCGGAAAATTGGGAAAACTATACGGAAAACTGGGTGCGGTGTAGACCCGTCCTTCCGAATTCTTTTCTTCCTTTTCTTTCCCTTCCCGAAAAGTGAACCATCTGTAAGCCACCATCCCTCACATCCTGCGGAAAGTTTGCAGGACGGTCTTCGCAGCAGTGGCCGGCTCACCCACTTCGTGGCTGAGGAAGAGGAAGCTGCAAATGAGCTTCATGACCTGTCAGAGCTTCGGGGGACGGTGCGTCCGCTCGGTTTCCGAGCTTGGAGGTTTGCTGAACTGGTTGGATTCGGAGGACTGCTGCTGCCCGTGAAGGACGCTCCGTGAGGGAGTGTTCAGGCCTTTCTCTCTGATGGGTTCGGGTCCCAACACCCCTCCAGACCCGAGGATTTGGGGAACCGGCCACTACTTTTCAAGGGAGGGTCCCAATGGGTCGCCATCTGGGTGGGTGCTTTCTCTTGGAGATCGCAGACCACGGCGGCTGAGTGGTGGGTTTTTGAGAAAATTCCTTGACGACGTGGTCCCATCTTCTTCCAATTGTCCGAGAGCTTGACAGATTGAAGAGATTCCCAGACACGACGATCCATGGGACTGCCAGGACGGACTGCCGCCCCAGCCAGACCCCAAAACCAACCACCCCTGGCCGTTTTGAAGGCAGTCCGGCTGGCAGTCCCATGGAACACACCTTCCTTCGTTCGGTCTCCCACTCTCTCTTCCTTCGGCCACCAGAGCGAGCGACCGGGGACCCAAGAGGCCACACCGAACAGGTCGCCCCATCCACATCCGAAGACGGCGCAAGGGCGGAGCGACAGGGCGGACAGCGACCTTCTCTCCTCTTCGAAAGCGACGCCCGCGATGGTTCAACAGCGGAGCTGACCGCTCGATGACAGGCTGTCGTTTCCCCCGCACCCGGTCTGAGCGAAGACCCGTTTCGTCCCGAAGGAGTTTGGTCGCCCGGTCGCTGAGGATCGGCACGTCACGCCGAGACTTGCGCATTCACCAAACTTCTGTCCTACAAAAATGATCATCAGCGCTTTTCCGGAGTCAAAAACCATCAAAAGAATGGTCTGACTAGGAGACCTGAAAGGGAGCTTCCTTTACTTCAGTCGGTCAAAGTATCGTCTTTGGATGTCTTTGGACTAGGGCCCCCTAAGGGGTGGCCCCTTAACCCCTAAGGAGCTATTATTAGACACCCCTTAGGGGGCCTAGTATACGGTTTTGGGTAGGTGTTTCTTTTCTTCACCATTATGGCGCTTCGTCCACGTCCCATCGGCTCGTGCCAGCCGGGCGCGCTGCCCGGCTAGGGACCTGGGCTTGAGCCCCCATGCCCCGCCTCCGAGAAGAAGACGGCCGTGGTGTTGAGATATCTGGGACCTCCAGCGGAACTCGTGGGGTTTTGAGTCGGATGAGTCGAGGTTATGATGGGCATTTTGGGGGGGGAGGGTGTTGGGGGTGCCAGATTTGCTGCCTCTTTTTCCGCCAAGCTTTGTTTCCCTCAACAGAATCCGTTGCAAAAGAACACCCTGATGCCACCTTTACTTTGTTCTTTTTTGCATGTCGCACATGGAGCCCTACACTGGAGCCGAGCGGAGCTGAGCTCAACTGGTCGCCAAAGCGGTTTCACCCCGTCCCATCCAGATGCCCTATGGATCCACTGCCACCTTGACTATTTATCTACGCGCCAAAAGGCCCAATCATACCTTCTGAGAAGGTATGTGGATCCCTAGGCTAGGGATGGTTGATCCAATATGACTTGCTTGAGATCCTGTATGTATAGGAAGTGGCTAGGACTCTGGGCCACCCACTCGGTCTAGGACTGGTTGTTGGCGGAAACATCCAATGGTTTCTGCGACTGGGACGGAAGGTTTTCCGGCCCAGTCGAACCTCCCAGCTCAGCCCGCATGGCACCAACCTTGCGAGATCTCGATCGACCACTTGGTATATACCCCCAAAAAGACGAAAAAGAAAACAAACACATGGTTGGCTTCTTTTCGATCACCGTCTCGTCTGCCCACGCCGTCTGCCACCCACGCCTTCCACGGCCAACGTGCGCGAGAGCCGCATGGCGAAGACGACGCTGACCGTTTGGGCCACCAACATCAGCAGCGAGACCCACTTCCTCGGTAGACAGACGGCCGCGCGGAGAGGTCAGGGACGATCCGGAACCCTTGGGTGGAAGGGGAGAGAGGGAGCCCGGTCCGAAAGCAGGGCTGGGGGATATGATCGGATATGACGTCAGATCTTGACCCTAGGGCTCCAAGTACCTTCTTGCAGAGGGTTTAGAGGGTCCAGTCATACCTTCTGAGGAGGTACGACTGGAGCCCTAGGGTGAGATATATATCTGAAGTGGATCACTTCACTTCCAGCTGCTGGTCGCCCCTACGGCGACCCGTTTCTCCGATCACCCGGTTTCGACCTGGTGTCCACGATCTCTCCGTCTTTCGGTTCCGAACCGGTTCGGCAACCTCCTGGACCCGACGTGACTTGGCACCGAGCCTAGCGCTAGCGGTGTCGGTGTCGGTCGGTCGGTCGATCGAAAAGTCCTCACCGTAGCTGAGGTTCGGTAACCTCCTGGATCCCTAGGGACGTAGAAACGATTCATTTCAACTTCTATCACGAGAACCAGAGTGGATGCCCACCATGCTGGGGAAACAAGGCCAGAACGGATGCAAACTGCAAACACAGCTACGAATCATCAGACGAGACAAACGAACTTGAAGCTAGCTCAATCCTGCCTTCGGACTGAGCAGTCCAACCAAGCTTCATGGGAATGCCGAAACACTTGGGCGAATCATTGCTCTTCGCCATGGCGCGCCACCCGGAAGCCGCGGCTGAACGCGGCTTCGCTCCGCAGGGCCGCGCACGCGGACACCGGTGTCCCCGGTTGCCGGTGTCGTGGCAGTGAAGATGAGTAAAGTGACCTGTTAATTAACCCAAATGATCCATCAGTCCATCAAATCCGACACCACGTGGATCCCAAAAAGAAGCTCGACTCAGAGACTGATCAGTCGCCCCATGGTTTCGATGGTTTTAGTTGGTTGGTGCCCCGAAAAAAACAGCTCGCGAATTGGCGGTCGAACAGTGATGCGGTGGAACCAACGGCCCATGTCATGTGGATTTCACTTCTACATCTTCCACCAACCAACCGTCGGATGCATGAAATTCTGTCAGTCGGTCAGGTTCACCGCACCATACCGCACCAGCAGAAAAGACAGAAACAGGTGAACTAGACGTAACTAGACTCCCTGAATCACCCGAAAGTCACCTAGGAAAAACCACAGGGCCTGACCAAGCGGAGCGGCCCCCCCCCAAAAAAGGGATTCACGCAACGAGCTGGAGCGAGCTGGAGCCCAAAACGAATCCACGCGGCGATTCGAAGCCATGCGGCGATTCCTGATTCCAATGACCCAAGTGTTTGGAGCCCCGTGCCCCTGACATCCCCTGACTCAGAATTGGATTCCGTATAGTCAAGAGTCATCCCAGTGCCCCCTCTGTGCCTCCAGTGCCACGCCAGTGCCCTGACCCGACTCTCTGAAGGAAATCCTTGGTCTTCCACCCCAAATGGGTCTCTTTCCACAACACCGGTCCACCTGGTCTCCCTTGATTCATCTGCCTTGGCACCCTCCCACCGCGCAGAGAGATCTCGCTCGCTCCGCCCCCCTTTGCGACAGGCGTGATCTACACGTCGAAGGCATAAGAGAAGGACGAGTGGAAGCACCGGAACCCACCACGAAACCCACGGGGCCCGTTCCCCCGGGTTCAGCGCGTTCTGCACCTCAACCTCAACCCCCACACTCCTGCCGAGCGGGCGCGGGTTCCCGCGCGGACGCGAAGCAATGAGAAAAACCCAAGACACATGTGTGAAGAACTAGCAGAAAACCGTACATGTTACAGAGGCAAATGATTTCTTCTTTTCTATGATGGTTGTACTTCATGGATCTCCAGCCTCACGAGCAAGGCACAGCAAGACTCGATTGAATTCCTCTGACAACTGTTTCTTCCCCCCCCTCTCCTCCACTCTCCTTGGTCTTGGTCTCGTTCTTGGGCT